GTCAAACAAGAAGGGGATCGCCCCCATGGTCAAACCTCTACCCCCCGGAGGCGATCCGTGTGGTCATTTTGACAATTTCGGTTAAAGTTGACTATTTCGTTAAAAAATCAGGTATATTTTGGTCGTTTTTGTAATTTTCCATTATTTTATTCATACATTCTCAATTACTTTTAAATCTTTCTTATAAATTATTTTCCAGATTTACCCAAAGACACGTCGTTTCCACAACTGGCTTAAAAAGGGTGTGGTACCTTAGAGGTGAGGGGTAATTTGGTCATTGAGACAGGTAGGCTTCTTGACTTTGTTTCCTCGCTGTTACATTTTTGTCTCCGTCCTTGAAGTTTTATTTTTTATAAAATTGACACTAAAAGACACAACACAGATCTTTTATTCTTCTTGTTTTTGGCACCATCACACTTGTTTATCGAGATCTTCAATAATATATATATGCTCACCTTATACAAGGAATAAAACACACTTACTTAATATACGCCAAATATTATGTTATATATATATATATATATATATATATATATATATATATATATATATATATAGAAGAGCNTATATATATATATATATATATATATATATACTCAAAAAATTGAAAAGCTATGATAACCGTCATCTGGATCATATGCATATATAAGTAATTTGTAAGTAGTTTCTCCAGTATGCAAAGGTGCATTATATGCACATGCACATAAACCAAAAAACAACTTCAATTACTTATATGCACAAGTGAATACAGCCCAGATGAATGCTTACTAGGATGGACCTTAGTTTTTTTATTTTTTTGAGGTTTTTCCCTGAACCTCTCTCTCTCTCTCTCTCTCTCTCTATATATATATATATATATATATATGTTTGTAGTGTGTGTCTATATATGCATGTGTATATATATAGAGAGAGAGAGAGAGGTGGGGTTCGAACAAAAACACACTTATCACATGTTATAATACATGCATGTGAAGGGATCTGATAGTGTGTGCGTCTATAATTTAGTATCAGTGTCATGTGATCAACAATGATAAAGACTGATTTTGCGTTTTGGTAAAATGAAGATGTTGTTTGAATCATTCCCAACACACACACACACTCTCACAAACACAAAAACACACACACACACACACACACACACACATATATACATATAGTCAGAGGTTCAAATATGATAACTAAATATCGTGAAAATGTAAGAAGAAAAGTTTAAAACATGTTCATATGTGAATCATTGAAAAAAATTTATTTGAAGATTGATATGTGAACCCATATGCATAATCTGTAACACAGGTTCAAATAGATTTTTTTTTGGGATTTTCAGTGGATTCAATATATATGAACATCCGTTTAACATTCTTCACTTACCTTCACACGATCTTTAACCTTCTTATTTGAACCAACCCCTGTATATTGTAAGGTTTAGAAGAAAACCCAAAAAAAAAAAGGTGATGAACATCTTAATAACCATTCATCTGTATGTTATATACATGTACGCATATAAGTAATTGAAGTTATTTCCTAGTTTATATGCATGCGTGTTATCCACATGTGCATACAAGACAAATTATTTATATGCACATGTGCATAACATGCAGATGAATTCTACAAAACAAAGAGGTTTCCCTAACGGAAAAATCCTTTAGTAATCCACTGGAAAAAGCCATCACTTCAAAAGAAAGTGTGGTCGGTGATTGTGATTACCGACGGATTTTCATTCACCGATGAAAAAACACATTGGTGATGGTCAATTCGTCGGTGATCCACCATAAATCCGTCGGTAATTATTGGCTGAAAAATCCTTCAGAAGCCTCTTTATTTTGTAGTGGTCGCCAGAGTCTTCTCAATTTTTCATTTTTTTGGGGTTTATCTTGAACCTAGCCCTATATATATATATATATATATATATATATATATATATATATATATATATATATATATATATATGGTTAGGTTCCACTGAAAACAATTTTTAACACCGATTTTCAGCTACACAACTCATCAATGTTCATCACCTTCATGCACTTGCATTATATAATTGACAAACCACTATATACTATTATATATCTACTTGTATCATCATGACTAAAACTTAACAAAATAGTGAATGCAAAGGAATGAAGATGCGTGAAAGTAAGTGAAGGTAAATGAAGATTCACATTGTTTATGACTTATTGGATGAAAATAGATGAATATATACGTTTTTTATACACTATCTAAAAAAAACTCATTCAAAAATACAGAAAGTTTCTCACTATTATTATCTTATGAATTATATATATATATATATATATATATATACATATCTATGTTTAATCACCGGTATTAAAAAAAATTATGCCATGTGCGAAAATAATTAAAAAATGTCCCTAAACTTTTTTTTTTAAGCCAATAAAACAACGAAACATGAGAACTTTTAAAGAGTTTAGAATTTATTCAAGCTAAGTGTCTTATTCTCATGTTGATTTTTATTAGTTATAATAAAAAAAAGGTACAATGTGGGGGTGGGGGGGCATAAAAATCAAAACCCCGAATACAAAATATAGAATGATAAAAGGATAAATCCTAGATTAAAATCGTGTTTCCTTCTTTTTCAATTTTCCCTTTTTCCAAATTGAAATTAGCAAAATAGAAACTTTATTTCAATATATGGGAATTAAAAGACAAGGAAAACTATAATTAGTTTTTAACTAAAATAGTAAATTACATCCAAATTACTGTCATAGTAAACAAAAAGTAAAACTCAAAAGTTACAGTTCTAATGACTAAAGGCTAAGGGTCTATCTATTAGCAGCTTAGGGGCTGTTTACTTGCGGCTTAATTGGGCTTATTGGTCTATCTGGCTTATTCACATAGCTCATTTGGGTTGTTTACTTACGGCTTATTTGCACAAAACATGACTTGATCGCACATATAGAAATTGTGTGTTGTCCCCATTCAGCCACAAAAATGACACTCCTACCCCTTATTTAAAGCATCGCCTCTTTCCCAAATGAGACACTCCATCGTCAACTTCTTTATGATTTTTTTGATGTTGAAATAATTATTATTGGGGGGTAAATCGGTCATTTATGTTATTCAGACTATTGGTTCAGATAAAGAAAGTAAACAACAACACCTATTTATCCAGACAGACAATTTTATCCATACAGGACTTAATAAATTTTTTGGTAAACAACACTTTAATAAGCTTAATGGAACTAACAGCTTATTCGCTCAACTATGCATGACTGTTTTGTAGTGGCTTAATGAGATAACAAATGACTTTTCCAGTAAGCTTCTAGAGGGAGTTTTATATTAAAAGCCAAGTCTTTTTTTCTTCCAAACATGTTCCTTCCAACTAAAAAATGCTCCTTATATCTGCGAAAAAAACTCTTCCAAACAAAAACTTTTCCAACTTATACAAACATATTAATTCATAGAGACAACTTTATTCATATAAAACTTAATAAAAAACCAATCAAACGACCACTAAATCTAATGCAGTAATGTCAAATCTCAAAGTAAACAAAAATCAAAAGAATAATAATAAATTGTAAAATTCATAATCTATGTTACTGTGCATTGCAAAAAATAAGTGCCCAATAATTAAGACAATATCACAATGTGTTGTTAATGTTGTGCAGTGTGCTCCCACTATGTTGATACAATTATGTGTTAATGTGCATTGAAGTAAAAAAGTGGTTTCACGGATCTAATGAAAACAAACTGGTCTCACGAGTCTATATATATATATATATATATATAGAGAGAGAGAGAGAGAGAGAGCTCTAAGATGATTTGTTAACCATGAAAAATATATTAATTATACAAACCATTTAGACCAATCACAAGCCTTTGTTATATTAGGTTCTTCTATCACCCATGCAATTAATATTGAGGATACAATGATAAATCTTTTTTTTTTTCTTAACTTCACATTCATTAATGGACGGTTACAAAAACATCAATCCCATGATTATAGCTAAAATAATATGTTTTTTTTAATTATAGATGACTTGTTATTTTAATATGATAAGAAACTTAAATGTTTTATCTTCAACATATATGTAGTCGCCAATGTTCATATAATGTATATATTGTTCACATGTGCTCCAAATGTGTTCATTACAATATCTATATACATCTAACATTTGGTCAATATGTGTTCACAAGTGAAACACTTTGATCATATATTATTGTGTGCACATGTGAAAGTCAATTACTTTAATGTTCATAAGTTTTAATATGTGTAAATAAGTGTTCATAAGTGTTCACATATATTCATATGTCTCGTATGTTTATATGTGAAAGCCACAAACTAAGATTAGTTAATGAGTTACATATATATTCATATGTATTCATAAGCGTTCATAATGCAACACAGATGATTCTACGAACTATAAAAGTAATGAGCAATTACCGATGTAATTAATTATCAATTTGTATCAGATTTGGACATCTCTCCCAAAAATACTATGTTCACGTATGTTTTGTTATCCTTCATTTATAATTAATTACAAATGTGTCACAGTTGGTCCCATCCATAGATTTTAAGAATCAAGGGCTAAGATTGATTCACAAAGTTAACATCAATTATTGGGTTAACAAAATAACCTGTCCATATATATATAATATAGAGAGAGAGAGAAAGGTGAATTATTATGCAACACTTTTCATTTGTACAACCAATACAACCCAATTTCAACCATTCATTTAATTTGATAAATATGTGACTTCATAAAAGTTTTGATTGTTTCATAATACAAAGTACTATTGATCATAATTAATGAACTTTAGTTATCTTTCATAAATGTTCAAATCATAATAAATAAACTCTCATCATTTCCATAAATATCTCAATTGATTGGGTTGCATTGGTTGTACGAATGGACATGCTTGCATTTGAAATATATATATATATATATATATATATATATGATATAAAATATGGTATTTTCTAAATTGAGCAATAAAGCTATGCATATGTATGCATGATTCAATCATTCCCATAGAATAATAAACAAATAAATAATTCTTTTCCTACTCCTATAATTCGTATACCCACTCCTCTTTCCTTGAATTTTCTCCACATTTTCCACAAATTAAACCAAGATAATAAATAAATAAATAAATATAATATAACCCACAAAGGGAATTTCTTTTTTCCTCACAAATATTCAAAAAATATTATGAAAAATAAATAAATAAAATCAAACCCTGGAAACCAACGTTTCCCTCATTGTTCTTGAATGCATCATTCTTGAGGAGCTTCTTTTTGACCCCATCAACTTTGACCAAAACCCAACTTTCTCCTTCATCGCTTGATCTTGAACAACGTTCTTTCGATCACTAACAACAGCCACTGATCTACTCTTCTTCAACACACCTGCACTGTTCTTCTTCAAGAAATAAAGATACCCTTTCCCTTCAAGATTATCGAGCTTTCGAAGATTCCGATAGTTTTGCATGGGAGATGCAGTGTAAGAGGAGGCATTGGATGAGTTATTCGAAGAGTAAACCGACGATATCGATGAGATTGACGATGAAGACGACGAAGATGATACGTTTGTGACAGCACGTGATGAAGAGCTTGATATCTTCGATAGTCTTTCTCTTAAACATAACGAGCAAATCCCAGGAGATTGCCGATGCTTCGGGTGTTTCTTGCACGTTGTTGTTGCCGATGATGATCTTTTCCGTGCTTCCATTTCTGTGATTTCGTGTGTTCGTTGGCTAGGTTTTACGGATGTTTCTTGGCTAGGTGTTTGTGTGTGTTTCTTGGAAGGTTTTTGATGGGTGTTTGTGTGTGTTTCTTGGAAGGTNGGTGTTTGTGTGTGTTTCTTGGAAGGTTTTTGATGGGTGTTTGTGTGTGTTTCTTGGAAGGTGGTGTTTGTGTGTGTTTCTTGGAAGGTGTTTGTGTGTGTTTATGGGTAGGTTTTGATGATGGGTGCTTAGGTGTTTGTGGGTGTTTTCTTGGATAGGTTTTGATGGGTGTTTAGGTGTTTGTGTGTGTTTTTGGGAAAGTTTAGATGGGTGAATTAGGTGTTTGTGTGTGTTTTCTGGATAGGTGTTTGTGGGTGTTAGGTGTTTCGTGTGCATTTATAGAGTTTTGGTGGTTGGGTTTCATTGAGAGTTCATGTGAGTTTCTTGTGAGCTTCATAACAAGACTTTTTTGAAGGTTAGTTCAGAAAGATAAGTGACACCACATATTTAAATTATTGTTAAAGTAAGTTACAGTCTCAACCCTATACTATTTAATATTTGCAGTTTCAGTCCATTAATATGATTGCACTACAAAGACCTTTACCCACAAAAATCATCTAGAGAGATTTTCGCTGGTGGTTGCCGATGGATCACCGGAAAGATACTCTAATGTCAGTAGAGTTCGATGTTTTTCATGAAAATACCAACGGATCACCTATAAAATATCTGGGTAATCTGTCATTGATTTGAATTTTCACCAACGATTTAATTAACTACCAACTTTTGTGACGGTTTTGTGACAAATCATCCTTTAGCGACGGATATCCCTTGGAAACATCCATAGGTAAAAGTCTTTCATTTAGTAGTGTTGGTTCAAATAGTAATTTTTAACCGCAAAGGTGGTGCCTGATTGGTTTGAGCTTTGACTCCAAAGGTCAAAAGTGTCTGAGGGTCTCAGGTTTAAATCAAAGGAGGAATAAAAATCATTTTGTACCCATAGAGGTTCAAACGCGGTGACTCCGGGCTACCTGCAATGCAGATGGTTGCCTTGTGATTAGTTGATTCGCATAGCAGGTTGGATATCCAGGTTAATCAAACAAAATAGTAATTTTTAATGTTTTAGTCTCTGAACGGTTAACATTAACGGAAATCTATTAAATACTATCATGCCCTTAGTACATTAATTCAGTTCAAAGGATATTTTTGTCCTTTTATCTTCAATTTCCCTTAATTTTCTTCTGTTTTTTAATGTTCAATATCAAAATTCATAAACACCATGAAATTCAAATCAGAGTTTGAGATTTGTTCGAGATTCATTATCATATCATATAGTTACACACACACACACATATATATATATATATATATTTTTCAAAAAAGAAATTTGCAATCTGTATGAATATATATCAAAACAAATGTTTTTCAATCTTTTTTAGGATGGAAGCACTACAACGTTTGTGACACAGGGTGTTAAAAAAAGTTTACACTGTCTCGGTTACATTTCTAAATTATAATACCATTTAACGATGACAAATTAAGAGAATGTTGTGGATTCAAATCAACTTGAAAACGTTTTAAAACATAAATATCGCAACTTTCCAGTAGAATCTTGAAAGTCAATATTAATTGTGATTGTTTTACGAAATACAGAAATACATACGTTAAAATATTACAACCAAGACACAAATTGATGTTAGTTGTCTTGAGCTTATGCCGAGGCGTACTCTACAAACTCCCTGCGGGATTAGGTTTACGCTTCACACAGAAAAGGTTGTACATTATTTTGGATTCGCCGACATCATAGAAATTAGGTCAGTGATTAAAAAATATTGGTTAAAAACACCTACACCCTATATTATGGCTTGATATTCAACATGACCCCTCAAGTTTTTCTATTGTCATATTCAGCTCTTAGAAGTTCTATCCAGATAATTAAAATATGTTTTCATCTTTACCTTATGAAAACACAAACCGATTCTAAAATTTGGTTTTCGTATTTCACGTTCATAACGTGAGTACTTCAAACTCATATAAGAAAGAACGAGGGAGAATTCGAAACAATATTTTGGGCAAATATCGATAATTATAGGGATCTGATTAGAATAATTCAAAAGTTTAGGGACCCAATAACAAATACCCAAAATAGAAAGAAAAGCTTATAATATAATTTTGTTACTATGGTATTTTATTGTTAGGTCATCATTAATTTAAAACATAAAGAAAATCTGATAATATTTTATTATAAGAGTTTTAAAAATGTGTTACATATAAAGTATTTTAAAAATATATATAATAATATATATACTCTTGCAAGAAATATGCATATTTTGACTTAATTTTAGTCGTTTTAACATGTTTTTCTCATTTAAGTGGAGGGGTAATTCGTTACACTTAAAGCAAGGGACGTAAAATATGTATTTTGTAAAACTTTAAGTCATGGTTTTTATTATTTATAAAAGAGATAAAATTAAAATATAATAAAAATTAAAATGTATTATCTTTGTTATTGATTTATATAATACTTTGACATTTATGTTCTTAAAAACTTAAAAGATTTTACAAGTGAAATCTAAAATGTCTTGTTATGTATTATAAATAAAATTATATATATATATATATATATATATATAGAAGAGTGATCATATGAAAACCGCCCTCATTTGTGTGAACCGTGCAAACCACCTTCATCTGTCGATTTCATTGTTTAATCTTATGAAGTTTTTTTATGAAATTGTTTAACCTTGTGAAATTGTTTCATATAATACTTTTTAATGGAGTTGTTTCATATATGGTTATGAAATTGTTTCATATAATACTTAATGAAATTTTAATGAAACTATTTCATGTATTTCTCTAAAATTAAAATAATAAAGATGATATTATCCATGATTAAAACACTGCACAATAAAAATAATTAATCAATCTCTCATAATTACAAAAAATTGAACAAAATGAAAAATTATAATTGGTTGAATGAGGTTTATACGGTTTGGAAAAATAACGTGGTTTGCAAAGTAGACCTTATATATATATATATATATATATAGAGAGAGAGAGAGAGAGAGAGAGAGAGAGCGATTGGTTCAAATACTAACCAAGATTTTTGTGTTAATTTTGTTAACCAAGATCAACCAATCATTTTCCATCTTTTCTTTAGGTTCACATATAACTCATATATTAATGACAAGGGTAATTAAGTAATTTGTCATWTATGTAACTCCCAAATCATTAATTGGGAGTTACAAATCTAAAAATCTCAATAATTGATGATTATGTAATATTTATATTTTTTTATACGTGTTCATGTTTTGTAATTTCGATTTATGCTATCCATAACGATATTGATTTTGTAATTGTTAAAGAATTTCCGATTGTAAAAATTTCGATATCGTCCGAGTAATATGGATAGACCTATTGGAAAACAGATCGACAACAATGAGAATGAAAAGGTTAAAATCGTCTACGACTACAATTGGAATTCGAATTCATATGTAATTGTTACAGAATTGTTCACAAGTGTTCATATTATGTTCATATGTACACTAGCTGCATATCTCARCATTGGCTTGCTCCTGAATGTGTTCATAATAAAGGAACTATTGTTCACAAACTGTTCATATTGTGTTCATACTTGTTTTTTATTTATTTATTTTCGTATAGCAACTATTCTTATTATATTCATATTGTGTTCATAAATACTATAGAGTCTAAATTCATATATATGTTAACTTATGTTCGTATTTGACACAATGGTTCATATATGTGGGGGTGTGTGTGTATATGTTCATATGGTTCTTACATTAACAAAAAAATAAATTAATAAAAATAGTGAGATTTTTTGATTTTGTAACTCCCAATTAATGATATGGGAGTTACATAAAAAAGAAAATTACCTAAATACCCTTTTTCCCTTTGTTCACATATGTTCTTTGAAATTGTAAATTTAAAATTTTAATTTTTTATCATGAATAATCGCAACCTCTTATTGTAAGAATCAATGGCCAAGATTGGTTAACAAAGTTAACACAATAATTTTGGTTAACATTTGAACCAACCCCGATATATATATATATATATATATATATATATATATATATATATATATATATATAAAACATCCCACCGTGTACAAGTTTTGAACACATGAAACTTCCACATTTCAAAAATAATATTAAAATCAAATTATTTTTAATTTTTAAGTTACACTTTACATCTTTAATAATTATTTAATTTAGTTTATATTTCTTTCTTTTTCATTTTAGATCATTATCATATTATCATACATAATAGTATATTAACTAAAATATATGAAAAAATGTGTTTCACTTTTTACAAATTATACCATTATAATCGTCTCATCAATATCTTTAGAATGAGCCCAATAATGAATATTTTTCGATTTAAACACATATTATTAGATAACATCAATATGTACAGAATTATTTTTAAAACTTTAATTTTATACCTTATAGTTATCGTATTTAATTTGTTTTATATTTCTTATTTTTTTCATTTTTATTTTACACTTTTAATTTACAAATTTAAAGTTGTAGAACTGTAACTCTAAATCTCCTCATCCCAAGCAGGGGCGGAACACGACTGTTGTAGTCCGGGAGGCCGAATTAAGAGCATCTTCAATAGATTTTTCAAAATTGAGAAAATAAAGATTTTAGGCATATTTTAGCTCCAACAGTCTCTCCAAAACTCTCCAAAATGAAGAAAACATGAGAGAGTGTAAACAAAAAATGATTATAATGAGAGAGAAACATTTTTTTTATCATATTCACACTGATATGAATCCTTGATATTAATGGTTTATGAGAGAGAAATAATATTTATTAAAGTTTTAATTCTCCATGGAGAATATATGTTGGAGATGCTATAATATTGTAAAAATTTATAAATCCAAATGACTCGTTTTTAGACTATTAAATTTTAGAAAAAATATTGATTAACGTAAGATTAAAACTCGAAACATTCAAAGTATTAACGGAAAATTAGTAATACCAACTTAAACATTATTTATATATAATTAATATATTATATAATTTACTCCAAAAACTTAAACATTCAAAGTATTAACCGAAAAATAGTAATACCAATGAAATTTACTCTAAAAACTTATGTTTACATATAATTAATATATCATATAAAAACTAATACATACAATTAAATATAAAGTGAATGGGGGGAAAATGCAAGGGAGGGGTTTTGAAACATTGACCTCTAGGATAGTGGCCACAAATAATTACCAATTGAGTTGTTTATCATATATGTCTTTAAAAGCTCAATTATAGTATTTGAGTTTAAAAGCAGAGAGGTCATAGCCCCCAAACGCC